CGAACTCGCGAGCCAGACTCGTACGTGTATGGGCCCCATAAGGCATGAACTGTTTTTCTCGCTCGGACGCTGGGTTCGTGGGTCAGAATCCCACTTGAGGCATGGATGTTTGGTGTGTGTATGCCTTTGTTCTATGACCTCACAGAATATTGACATTTCCTACTGGTATACTCTGTACATATATATCTGTTCATCGTATTTTTAAACCATTCATTAATTTTTAAAACAAAAGCATTGCTTTCAAGAATCTGTTATTATACACACGCGTATGAGATCTGAGGATTTCATGACAGTAAACATGTATTGTATCCATTTGGGTTATGGCCAAAATGTATGGGGAATCTATATTCTGAGGAAGTAGATTCCTCCGAAACTTTGGTTACTACCTACGAAAGTATACGATGCTGCAATCCTTCAAACCGCAGTATAAATATGGACTCTGTAAACACAGACAGGATAAGGCTCTGCTTTCATAACCAAGTCTTCATAAATTTTTAGGCAAATTATACTTCTTATACAAACTCGTAAAATGCGGCGTGCCTGTTACATGGAAAGAGTTTCAGAAAGTAGAACACTTTTATTTAAGTTATTCTGCTGTCCTCTACAGGTAACAGATGATGGAAATTTTTTTCAGACTGCGCAATGAACACTTATATAATGTAGAGCTAGGAGCGGAGACGTAGAATTCCATGCAGGCCGTGAGTAAGCGATTGCAGAGTGAAGCGACAGATATACTTGCATAATCTTAATTGAAGCTTAGTCGATCGAGGAAACAGCTCGGTTCTTGGACGGTGATTTCGAATCCTGCTCGACATCTTTCTATACTTTATTGTCCCGTGTACATAAAAGTGTTGATATAGTCCGAGTTTATCTCCACAGGGGCTTTACCTGATGTCTAATAATTCAGAACTTCAGAATGACACGCCAGAGAACTTAATCCGTGAAAGCTCAAGAAGAAATCGAGATTAAAGGGTAACAACTCTAATTTGTTCCCACACAAATTAATTCAAACCTATGTCGTGTCTATTATTTTCAGTGTACCCTGACCGCTAATAGTTACAGCCATTAATTATCTGTGTGATATGATAATTATAAATTAAACTCTCCAATATATGAACATAAATATATTCCTTAGGCTAAACATGAAGGTACCGAAGTGAACGGAGAAGTTCATGGAGGTAGGCCTAGGCCCACTGGGGCTGTAGTGCCAAGATGGGTGGGGGGGAAACATGAAGGCATAGAGGATACTGGTGGAAAAGCCGGAAGGAGGGAGACCACTGGGAAGACCAAGACGTAGGTGTAAAAGTAAAAGAAGTAAAGCTATCTCTGTACCAGGCCGTGAAGGCTCATAGGGTTGTGAGATGTTGAGGTCCCACACTATCTATAGTCCATTCGCGGAGACGATACAGTTAGTGTAAACAAAGCAAGCCTGGAGTCGCCACAGCTGACAGCAAGGAGTGGACAAAGCGCGCAGTTACTTAGTGTACTCACTGCATTCAGACTGAAGAGTGAACTTTGGACGCCCCTGCAACGATACACGCATCACGTGATCGCTACATGATTTCATTCAAAGAGCGAAGGAGATACCGCGTGCATTTGTTTACGAGGACTCTCTCGTCTCCGCGAATGGACTGTAGACACTCGACTCAAAGATGGCGGTAAGGTTGTCAGCCTTACGCAGGGGCCGCGCTTTACTCCCCAGGAAAATTATTTAATTAATTCCTGGTACTCATTTCTGTTAGAGGCTGAGTAAACCCCAGGACCTAGTGCGGCTGGAAGGGTTAAGTCAACTGAAACAAATCCAATGACATCATCTGGACTTGAACCCGCGACCTTCCGGTGGACCATATTAAAATGGATCTTAGAGAGATAGGATGGTATGGATTGGATTGATCTGGCTCAGGATAGGGTCCAGTGGAGGGCTTTTATGAACACGGTGATGAACCTTCGGGTTCCATAAAATGCTGAGATGGCAGTTGCCATACTTCACTGCAGTACCACGGAGAGCAAAACATGAAGGTCTCAGCTGACCCGATTGAAGTAGCCGCAACTCGACTTGTGTTCCTGAGATGCGCCTGAAGTTTATTATAGTCTCCTCCGTACTGACAGACGAATGACGGGATATTATCTTGGAATAGGCCACGACAATCTCCTTGGAAACAATTACACATTTATAATTTTTGATGAGCCACCTCTACTTCTAGGAACAGACCGGTCATACGTTTATTCAATAGGGAATTAGTATATTCATCTTCGGTGAAATTCTTGGGTATTGATATCTCTGAAAATTTGAGCTGGTTGAATCACACTCAATATATCTGCCTTAAGCTGAGCAAGGCTCTATATCTGATCAAATCCTTACGTAATTCTGTTAGTTTACAGGTATTAAGAAATGTATATTTTACTAAATTTGAATCCATATTTAAGTATGGTATTATGTTTTGGGGTGGTGGAGGTAAAGAGATAGATACAGTTTTTAAAGTACAAAAAAAATGCATAAGAGCCATTATGGGCGTTGATAATCGGGCATCCTGCAGAAGGCTGTTTGGTGAGCTAGAAATTTTAACTGTTACTTCTTTGTATATACTCGAGATTTTATGTTTTATCATAAAAAATAGAATCTATACAACTCTGAACTCTGATGTGCATAATTACAATACGAAGCATAAACATAATCTGTATGCCCAACATTGTAATACAGATCGTTGTAAGAGAAGTGTGATAAACATGGGCATAAAACTATACAATAATCTTCCTATGGAGTTAAAGAATGTATCTGATTTTAAAGTGTTTAGGAGGAAATTGAAGTGTTATTTGTTGCATAATGCCTTCTACTCTCTTCAGGAGTTTTTTTATATGTAAGATGTTGAATTAAATGGCTGTAATTGTCTGTTAATGCATGTGCTGGTGGTTTTTTATATAATATGTTTAAGTATTTATGTATTCTTTGATTATATTAGGTGTGATTGTTATTAAATCTATATATTCCCTTTGACTTTATCCGATTGTATATTTTACAGTTATGGATGTAAATAAAATTATGAATTATGAATTTAATGCCATGTAAACTCTACACAGATTCACTGTGTGGAGATATGTGGACCACACATACTCGTACATTTGAAGAAACATGGGCTCCTATTTCGAACGTGACAAAATTAATTAATTTTTCATTCTAAAAATTTAAAAGGAAAGTTAAGAAGGAGCAAAAGTGGAAGTAGAGGCGATATCGTGACTTCTTGATTGTGAAGATCAAATATTTGTGGGGGACTATTATTATTGTTATTGTTCCTCTCGAGGACTAGGGCCTTATCGTGGAGAGGTTTGCGCTCCCCAATGGCCCAGAGAGCTATTCCGGCTGGAACGTGAGCTCTTGATAGGGTCACTCATGCCAGACAGATCAAAAGGTAGTGGCCAGACGAAGTGTAGTCCCTAGTGTTCCAAGACCCCGGAAAAATTCACTGTTACGAAACTTCCCAAACCATGCAGGAGGCCAAGAACCACACAGGGTTACAGCGCCAACAGAGATTATTATTATTATTGTTGTCGTTGTTGTTCTTATTCTTGTTACTATTACGTATTTCGTTGTCTTATTTAGTATTTCCAGGAAGAGACCATTATAACAAATACAAATCACTCCGTCCAATGTGACCTGTAAGTTTTTTACTACATGAAAACTTAACACCCTTACATGTTTTGGTCTCTGTGGACCATCTTCAGAGGGCAAACATCACTACAAATAGGAAACCACCATCACATAAATTGTTTAGACGTAAACTACGTACACTTATATGCTACAATGCATAGTACACAAAATTGAACATTTCACAAACACAGCAGTTTCCTGGGAATGTAAAGTTTTTAAAAAATTAT